CTATTATATTTGGATCTAATCCAAATATAAAAACTTAGTTGGCCATATCATACATAGACCCAAAACACACACACACAAGGGAGAGAGGAACCAAGCTATCATCTATGGATTATAATTTTTGTTTGGAGAAAAAAATAACAAACTTTCATTTAATTTTTCCAACACAACCAATTCAGGCCACTAGATTTATGGGATATGCAATATTGAATTTTTTTTCTCTTTCTCACCAACCAACCAAACAAAAACAAAAAATGTAATACATGATTGAGAGGCCCATATGCTAACCGATGAAAGTGGGATGTAGAAAAAAAAATTGAACATTTTTTCCAAAACCATAAATCAAAATGAAAAAAAACCTGAATAATAAAAGAGAATCGAACAACAGTATTTGAATGAATGAATGAATTTCAAGGTCCAACTGTGTTTATACAACAAACAGAAAAACTTTGTTTGGTTTCAGGAACACAAACGCAAACATAGACAAGAATGATTCGATAGGAAAAAAATTCATAAAAAGAATGGGAAAAAGAAAATTCAATTTCAATAACCATGAGTGAGAAACAATGATGATTGCTCAAATTTACGACCCGAAGAAAAAAAAACGGTTATTATTATCGAAAACAAACAAACGAACCCGATGTGCAAACGATATGATCCGATCATTAAAAAGATATGGGTGTGTGTTTGTGTTTGTGTTTGCTGAACATTATCATCTCAACACCTGGGTGAGAAATAGAAAAGACTAAATCCAATTTGGACTTTCAATTATTATCTGCTTTACAAAATAGCATCGGGATCATCATCATCATCATTGAAGAGATTAATTCTCCATCTGTGCATCATTTCATTTCATTTTTTTCAATTCGAATGTTCCTTTTTTGTTGCATAGAATGATGATGATGAGTCATATTATTTGATCGATATTTTCAATAATAATAATAATAATAATTTTCAGTTATTTCGATCGATAAAAAAAAAGAACTGCCTGTACTCGTTAACTATTTGCCAATACACGAATTTTTGAAAGTAGAAAAAAATTTTCGCATAACAACCGGAATTCGCATCGATAAATCATCAACTTTGTTATCAACATAGAAAAAAGTTGTCAAATACAGTTATTATAACATAAGAATTCATTCATTCATTGAACCACACACACGAACATAAACATGATTGTTGATTTTATCAAAAAAAAAGAAAAGTTATTTAAAACCGATGAAACAATCATTTCATTCATCATCATCAACAGCAACATCATCCGAAAACAAACATCAAGTTAAAAATTAATGAGCCTTTCAAAAATGACGACATTCATTCATTCATTTTTTTTTCTCGCCATGTTTAATTGTCATCAACATTGGATAAAGAATTTTGTATAAACTTGAAACAACTAAAAGTAACCTTGTATTAAAGTGATGATGATAAATTCCGGGAAAAGTTTGTAAAAATAATTTACATTTCTCCCAGAAAAAAACTATGTCATCATTTCTTTTTTTTTTGCTTTTGCTGTCTGTCATCAAGTTTTTACTATTCTTTTTTTTCGGTTATTTTTGGTCGATCCAGATCGGAACGGTCGAATGGTTGTGGTATCATCATCATAGACAACACAATGACATCGATGATGACAATGACGTTTCAACAACAATTCATCAACCACGAGACAATCGAAAAAAAAATAAACGGGACCGTTAAAAATAAATAACAGCCATTTTGGATTGGTCTATCATAGATATTATATTTAGAGAATTTGAAAAAGTTCCTTTTTTTTCAATTGTCATATCAATGAAGGAAAAATTTAATGGAATATCAGACAAAACATAGAAAATCGATTTGATTGAATGGATGAATGTTGTGGGTGTATGGAAGAATGATATGTTGTGTGACGCATCCGTTTGGAATGTCTATGATCTATTTTGTTATATCATAAAAATCAATCAAAATTTTTTTGTTTGTTGATAAAGCAATAAAAATTTGATATTTGAATTAAATAATGATGATCGTTAGTTATATTTGGAAATTCTAGTGAATAAAAAAAATGAAAATAAAAGCGAAATGGATGCTAATTTTCAATGGAAAAACTAGAATATCATCATCATCATCATAACATCTGTCATGTTATTATCATTATTTCGATTTGGATGTCAATCTCAAGAAGAAAAAGAAAAATTCATTCAAAATGACAATCATCATCATCATCACTATCAATTGAGCAATTTCCACATTGTATTAATATTGAAAAAAATTGGTTTCATTGGAAGTATTTTTTTTTATTTATTTATAATACCACTTGAATGAAAAGGATGATGATGAAAATCATTATTACTTGTTGACATCCATTAATGATGATGATGGTCATCATCATTATTATTATTATTATTATTGGATGAATAAGCCTGCATATAAAAACAATAACAATCCTGGTTCTAGATTGTTGTTGTTGTTTGTTTTTTGTTGATGTTATTTTAGATGTAATGTCTATTTGGTTATGACTCATATATACATCGATCGAATGATATAATGACGATCATCGTGATGATGATGAATCTCATTGAAATTGGCCATTAAAACATATCCATTTTAGTTTGTGTGGTAAAACAAAAAAAGTTATATCATTTTCATTGATAATGATGATCATCATCATTTTCATTAGTTGTTTGTTTGTTTGTTTTTCTCTTTCGCCTCAAAAACACAGAATGAGATCAACCAAAAATCAAAATCATTTACTTTCACTATTTCAAGATGAGTTCCTCTTCTATGGCCACAACAACAATGATGGACAGCCATCAAATCAATGTTCACTGCATATACACACAGATTGTAATCGGCCGGGTTGTTTCTTTTTTCTATCACTATAACTTAACTGCCAAAAAAAATTAATCGGCTTAACTAAGAAGCTATAACTGTTTTTCATTTTCAAAATTGTTCAATTGGATATGGATATGGAAAGCTGTATTTTATTGTTGCTCATTTCTGGAACAAATGGATGGCATTTTGTTGATTTGGTTCGATGCTTTTATTCGTGAAATGGCTTATCATACACATACAAACAGAGAGAGAGAGAGAGAGAGATATAAAGTTTCCTAATGAATTGAATGTTAATAACAATATTTTTTTTGCATCATCAAAAACAAAAACAAACAAACAAACGAAAAAAATTTCACATCAATTCACATGAAATGATACAAAACAAAAAAAGAAGTTTTATAGCCAGGCAAAATATTGAAAATGTTTATTTGTCCTGTGTCCTGCATCCAATTTTTTTTTGGTCCAAGGCCAACAATGATTTTTTTCCTAATATTGTTTGACACGTGTTTTGTTCACTCGTGTTTTGAATGTATGGGGAATTGGGCAGCACATACAAAAGATCGTAAATAAAAAAAAAATTTAATTGGATGATGATCATCATCATAAAATGAATGAATTGAAACGTCAACAACAACAACAATAACGATAAAGTTAAATGGAATCGTATTGAACTATATTGTAGGATTCATTTCTATTAATTTCGTTTTGTGCACCGATTTTTTTTTCTTAGTTGTTCCCAGTTGCCATATAGTTTTTTCATCTGTATCAATTTACATAATTAACATGTCGTCATCAAATGCATCCTTGTTTCGAAAAAAAAAAAATATTCGGTTACTGAATTCGTGAAAAAGGTTCAGTACACCAAAAAAATGATAGCAACAAACGAAGCAGGAAAAACAGTTGTAAATTATATTATAATAATATGAACAAAAAAAAGGATAAAAATTGGGAATAGAGCAAAAAATGTACGGTTATCATTATTGCCCCCAACCACATATTGCAATCATACAACAATAATAATAAAATAAAAATCTGAATATTTTTAATATAGAATATATATTCAAAAATAATCAATTTGACATATCTATTCTCCCCGATCTTTTTTTCTCTCTCTTGTTATCAGCATCGATCGGGTAGCCATTAAAATCGAATGGTCAAATGGTTAATGCAATGATGGAACAATGCTAGTATAACATACAGACACAGAAAAGTTTGAATGAATGAATAAATGAAATACCATTCTGCAGTGGGGTAAGAAGAGGAAAGGGGAACAACAACAGCATGAATTGTATATTTGTCGCATCCATAAAACCAAGACAATGAAACTCCCTTCCTCTATCGAAAAAAATGCTGCATTACTCATCATCAAAATCATGAAAATACAACGATCATGCTTTACACCATAATGATCATATCAAAGGCCGATGACATTGAATAAAATAACAATAGTCATTTTCTAACGCATTTTGTTTGTTGGAACAGTTGTTAGTTTTGTTCCATCAAAGCTATTTTTACGAGCGCAGTAACAAGGGTTTCAAAAATGAATAGAAATGGTTGTTAAATGATGTTGATGGAAATTCGTCACGAGACAATTGTCAATTTTAAAATGAAATTTCAATTTTGATCAAACGATTCAATTCAAATTTGACACACACACAGACAAACAACCATGACATTTCTAATTGAAATGTTTTTGCAGAACAAACAAAACATCCAGAGAAAATTTCGTTGAAATTTTTTGATTCAAAGATTAAAACAACGATTGTGCATTCACAAACACATACATCGAGTTTCATCGAATTTGCTTTCAAATCTTACTTTGACCTTTTCAGGAAAACATAAAAAATATCAATAACAAATTGATAATAAATATTGATTGTTTTACTAAGCCTCTCTATCTCGCCACGTTTATTTCAACAAGCGTTTGAAATATGTTTGTTTTTAATAATCCAGAAACATTTTGAAAAATGAAAGAAATTAGAGCAAAGTGATAAAATATAAAATTGTTAGTGGTTGGTAAATCGGATTCGGAAAATCGTTTTACATCATCACCATATAATAATAATAATCATTATCGTAAAAGACACTTGAACAGGTTTCCATGCTTGATTATCGATTATCATCATCGATAATAAAATCATATTTTGAAAGTTTATTCATAATATAAAAAATTGGGAAAATTAAAAAAAACTTACCTGCTACAGGTGTAACAACAACGATGAAACAAATATTGGCCAAAATGATTAAACCAAATAGGCAATAAATATGATACATTATGTTATTTAGATTATTATTATTATTTTTCATTTGAAATGATAAATTTTTCTTGCAACGATGCCAATGATGAACGTTGTTGTTGTTGCTATTTTCTGATTGTTGTTGTTGTGAATGTTGAATGTTGTGGTCATCTATTGATGATGATGTCGATTTCATTTTTCTTTTGATTGATTGATTGATTGATCGATTCAATCGGTTATTTTTGAAAACTTTTCAAAACGGTATTGTCGGATTTATTTTTATTTTTTTTTTATTGAACACACTGGGAGAAATAAAATCTAAACTTCAAGATAATCAAGGAGAGAGTCTTGAATGGATGTTAATGATGATGATGAGAATTTAGCTGAATCAAAAAGCACAAACACAACAAACGCAAAGAACGACGAACCTTAAATTGGAAGCTGAAACGAAAAAAAACGTAAATGATAATTATTATTCAAAGACAAATTGAAATCAAATAATAAGATGAGTTTTTTTCGGAGGAAAAGAAAAAACAATCAACATTTTTTCTCTGATTAATCATTTAAAAGAAAAAGATTGTTTTCCAGAATTGAAAAACAGGCGAAAGAAAAATATCAATAATGATAATGATGTATCGATATAGAAAATCCGAAAGAAAGAAAGAAAGAAAAAAAACCGGTCGGTATTCCAATGATGATGAGGATAGCATTTGCATGACTTAATTTAACGTCATCATCACCATCACCATTCACCACAACATTTTCATTTTCAGTTATTTTAGTCGCTGATTAAAAAAAAACGAAACGAAAACTAAATTGTGATTGCTGTGATTACCTGTCAAATGCAATGCTTCTTTATTATTTCTTCTTATATTATACAGGGTCCATAACAGGAAAAAAAATTGTTATTTTTGGCTATCTTTACTTCATTTTGGTGAATATTATGGAGAGAAAAATTGGCACAAACACAAACAGACAACATAAACAAATTTTTCATTATTCATTTTTCTTATTACTTATTGATTTGATTTGATTGATTGTGATTAATATAATTCATAAATCATAATAAATCAATATATATGTGTGTGTTATGTGAATCAGAGCATAAAACAAAACAAAAACGAACAAAATTGTGTTGATATAATTGTCATCATCATCATAATCGATTTATAGGTTAATTATTTTCGGATAATTAAAATAAGATTTTCAAACAAAATCGATAAATCGATTTTTTTTTGTTTGATTTCATGAACAAAATGTTGACCATATGGAAATTGGCAATTTCCTATGGGCCAAATACCAAACACACCAATAAAATATGATTATTTTTACCTTGGAAATTTATTTTTCTTTTGGCTATTCATTCCGCAATCTTTCAAACGTTTTTTTTTCTCCAGCTATGTCATTCACAACACATAGCTTGTTGTTAAAAAAAATTTTTTCCAAAAAGAAATACAAAATGGCAGAACTATCGACCTATCTATCTACTGTTGTCCTTTTTTTTTCTTTTGGTATTGTTTATTTTGGTATTAGGAATTAAGTCACCTGGCAATGTATAGCGGTGGTGGTGGTGGCGGCGGTGGTGCTGGTAGCAAACTATCGTTTTTATACTTGAAAACCTGACAGGTTTTTTTTTCGCATTTCAATTGTGTTTAGTTATGTTGAACAACAACAACAACGAAAACACAGGTAATAGCCAATAGTCAGCCAGCCAACCATAACCAAGGGGTACAATTTTTTCTTCCAGGTAGGAAACATTTCTATATTTTTTTTTGAAAAAAAATTTACAATTCAATAGTGAATTGTTTATGATGATGATGATGATGATGATAGTAGTTTTTTCTTTTTTGGTATTTGGTAATAAGGTCCACAAACACACACACACAAAATGACAATTTTTATTTTTTGAATTTGATTTGCACAACAAAAAAATTTAAAAAAAATAAAAGAATTGTTCCCATTGTCCATTGCCTTGTGTGTGTGTGGATCAAATTGTATTACGTTGGAATTTTTTCGAAAAAAAAAAGATTTTCTCTTTCTTGTTTGCCTCATTGCCTGCTGCCTGTCATTCATGTATTGAATGATTTCCACGAAAAAAAAATAATAAGGACCAAAATCAAACTTTTAACCCTCACTCATTCACATACACACACAAGCAGATGAATCAAATATGCAGGAAGGAAGAATGGATATTTGCTTTAAATAAATATTCAAAGAAAAAGGATTGACAAAATCAAAAAGTCTGATGGTCACAGAATACAAACACACCGAATCAAACATTATTGCAGGTAAAAGGTTTTACTGCTATTAAAGTTGTAAAATTTTTTGTTTCGGCAATTACCTTATGTTCCAAAAAGAGAAAAAAAAAACAGAAATCGTTTAAAAGCATTAAAAATGATTGTCGGAGAATATTCTTTCTATTCAAAGGAATTTTCTCTACATTAAATGAGATTTTAATGTAAATTTTTTGTTTTTCTCGTTTTAATTCTACTACCTTTTGCAATCTGAAAAGGAAATCCTGTAAATTAACCATATAAAAAAAATGTGAATTGAATTTTTGAAATGAATCGATATAGCTAACAAATATATTTTGGTTGATGAAAAAAGGGGAAATTTGCACACACACACATAGTGTGAATTGGCCAGAAAAAAAGAACCAAAATTCTGGTTATTCTAGAAATTTCAAAATGAACAGGCGCAAAAAACGATGAAATTGAGAAAACACGCCAAATACAAACATTGTTGGTTTGGGTTGATGATGATGGTAATAAAATGACAAGATAAAGGACTGCGGACTGAAAAAATGGACTAGTGGATCCAAGAAAAGAACCAGCAAAAAGAAAAAGATACCAGATCCGATCGGAAAGGAAATAAAGTGAGACAATGACGTTTTTTTTGACTTTGCATGCAAAAATTTCTGGTCATGACAGAAGATCGACAAAAAAAACAAGCTAACCAGATTCCTTCATCGACGCCCAACAAGATATTTCTATTGGAAAATATGATTTAAAAAAACTTTTGCAATACTTACATTGAGAAATACAGTTCTGGATCGGATACTTTTTTAAAATTAGATTAATAAAGACAAAACAGTAAAAACGAAAAAAAATTGAAAAGAAAATAACCCTAAAAAACACACAAATTTCACATTACGAAAATTGATTCCAAATGATTTTTGAGGATTGAAACACCGACACAAACACGAAAAAGATTTCTAAATTCCTGATGATGGATTGATTGATTTTTGCAATTTGATTTGTTTGAATTTTTTTCGAAAATTTTAGAAATTAGAGATCAAAATGGATCGCGTTTTCGAAATGGCTTCATACACACAGTGATAGGAATGATGATGATCAGATCAGATCATTTCGGAATGAAATAAACGAATGAATAGAAGAGGATTCGAATTGAATTGAATTGAAAAAGATACGAATGAAATGCCAAAAAAAAGCTAGTAGCATATCAATATGAAATGGTGTAGAGAGATTGGCCATTCCCAATTTTTTTTCCACTGTTCAATCATCTTTGATATGAGCCACTACTTAAATTGATACTTTTTTTGTGGAAACTTCTATTAGCTTTGCTTCTATCTTGTCAGGGGAATGATTTTATGATAATTTATAGCGTAAGTGGAGGGTGGAGGGGTAGCATGAGGATTGTTTGGAAAAAGCCATCCCATTTCAAACATAGCGCCAACTAGCGGTATTGATTGAAAATACATGGAAAATAAATAAGAATTCGAATTACATCATTGTTTCGAAATTGAAAAAAATCAATCAAACAAACAATTCAATCGATCACAAATATACCGTCTATTAAATGTGTGTTTGTTTTATTTCATCAAATAAACATCGTTTATTTTATTCACATCAATCAATTTTGTTTATTTAATTGGATTTTTTTGTTTTGTTTTGTCGAAATTGATTTCAAATTATTACGTCAATGATATGTGAATGCCGTTCGTTTGAAACATGTTTGATGATGATAATAATAGATAATTTTTTTAAAAAACAGGTATAATGAGATGTTATCTTTTGTCCTTGATTTCTGTTTATTAATTCTTATATTAAAATTATCGATTTTAATCAAGTTATTTTGATTCTAACATTCATTCTAACTTGATATTAAATAATTACCACCACTAAAAGTTTCCGGTTGAATCATCCATGAATTTCATCCTAAAACAACTGTAAAAAAATGCGTCATACAAACAAGAAATTAAAAAAGAAACAAATTGATTCATCAAGTTTCTTTTTGACATTGAAAAATATGTACGTTTCAATCAACAGCAACAAGTTTTTCATCGTTACTTTCATCATTCGTAATTTTATTCTGAACGAAAAGAAGTAGAAGAAGAAATTATTCAAGTTAATTGCGGTCAGTAGTGATTTTTCAACAACAACAACAAAAAACATTGAAATCATTTTTGCACACCTTGAATTCGCACACATAAATAATTCAATTCGTGCTACAATGCAATAAAAAAAAGGATATTAAGCAAATAACAATTGATCTTTTTTTCCATCCAAAACATCATCATCATACATTCTTTTCATTCTTCATTAAACAAAAATCTTTTTTTTCCCATTTGAAAATGAAGAAAAAAAATGGTAATGTCGACAACTATCAATGATCATAAAGAATACAATTATCATCATGTTGTTGATGATGATACCGGTTAGCCTTGAAAAAAAGCCACGAGGGAGCCGCTGCCATCATTTACACTTTATTTATTCTAAAAGTAGATGAAAAACCCTGCCATTATTCATTTGTTGTTGTTGTCGTCGTTACGTTTCTTGTAGTTTTCAATCAAAAGAATTTAAGCTAAATGAGTGCGTTTGTGTGGAATTTTCTCCATTAACATTCATAACATTCAATTGAATTTTTTTTTATTGATAACGGTAGATTCGGATTCATAAACAATGTGTTGATGACGCCCATCAACAAAATAACTACGACGACGATGACGACGTTGTTTGAATTCAAGACGGATTCATTGAATCCATAATGATTTTGAAAAAAAAGAAATACTATGCTGGCTGACTCATTACAAAAACACTTAAGTTTTTCTTTCTAAAATCCAATATATTTTTAGAATTCAATGATGCGCTTGATTTTTGTTGTTGTTGTTGTAATTTCTATTTTGATATATTAAAATAAATTACGATTCAACGTTTTGTGATTTGTCATTCTTTGAATTATTTTTTTTCAATCAATTTTCGATAGATGGCGATATGTGGTTCAATTTTTTTTTTCTATTTTCCTAATTTGATAAAAAAAATTTCGAATAAAATTCATTTTTTTTTTGCGAAAATGAATTATTGATTTTTCTTTTGTTTTTTTTTGTTGATTGAAAATCTAATCTTTTCAACATGGAATGTAATCATCTATTCAAACGAATTCTGAATGAACATAGCCATTCATTATTAAATGAATGTCATACAATACAATCAAAATTGAAATATATTTTTACTAATGTAATAACATTAAAAGAATTGATTCAATTAATTCATCGTGATTATTATCGATCTAAACAACAAGCAAGTAAAAATTTGGATCAATTCTGGCATTATTTACGATTAGCTGATCAATTGTTTTATTATCGATTGTCATTATCATCATCATGGTATCATAAATGTTTACATTATTATCAGAAGGTAATTTATTATTTTAGTCATCATCATTGCAATTTTTGAAAAACTTTTTTGTTTTCATTGTAATGATCATACAAAAAAGGCATTGCTCGATTGTCGGGATGATATATTGAAATCACGAATCTATTATTCAATGGCAACACTGTTTACATTCCAATCGAATCAAAGTTTAAAAAATGGACGACAAAAACAACAACGATTAGCTTTACAATCGATCAATCAAGCTATCGAAATTCTTGAAAATTCTTCTTCATTATCAAACAGTAGTAAACTATTACTGAATAAATGTTATGAATTTTTCAATCAACTTTGTTGTCGACAACAACCGAATACAATTGAAAAATTAATGGAAAATAAAAATTGGAAATTGAATCATTTTGGATTTCTATTTGAATTTGATGAAAATTGTTCAATCTTTTATAATAAACAAAAAGGTCGTTATCTAAAAACATTAACAAAAAATAAAATGAATAGTATTCCTTATGGAACACATATCATAAGAGAACGTGCTATTTCAATTATTCTTGATTCAAATCAATATCATCATTATTGTTCAAATTGTTATCGTCGTTTATCATTATCGACTATGATATTTTTTCCTTGCCATTATTGTCATCAGATTGTATTCTGTAGTCGAAAATGTGAACAAAAAGCTAATACACATGGAGGTTTGCATCGATTTGAATGCAAACTAATATCAATATTACAATCAAATCATTATGGTTGGCATCTATTTCGTATGATACAATTGATCGGTGGTTATAAAAATTTTATCAAATGGTCCATTATCCAGCAACAAAAACAACGATGTTTCCACAATGATGATGATGATCATCATCATCATGGAATTGTTCATCGTAATGATTCCATTATCAACATTAAAGGTAATAATCAGAATCAGAATCAACAACAAGAAGAAAAAATAATGAAAAATGAATCAAAATTCATTGAACCATTAGTTGTGAAACAACAGCCAAAACCATATTACAATTATCATTTCATTGAACAAATAAATCAATTTCGATTGAAATATGAAGACAACGATGATGATGATGATGATGTGGAAAGAATCAAAAAGAATGATGAAAAATCAAAAAAAGGAGGATCGAATCAACAAAACACTGCTGCTGCTAAATGTAATAAACAGGACCTAGATGATGATGATGGAATGGAAATAAATTCATTGAATTATTATTCCAAACTTTTATCATTAATCGATTCATTTTGTTTACCATCAAACGAAGATGACGACAATGAACAACAACAACAACAACAGAAATGGAATTCATTCGGGACAGCAAAAACATTCGAAAACGAAAACATCAATGATGATGACGGTGATAATAATAAATTTGATTCAACATTGATGCTATTGTTATGGGCATTGAAAATAATTATAATGGCCACCACCACCATTAATATTACCAATGGCTATGATGATGATGATGAAAAAAAGTGCAAAATTTTTGTCAACAAGAAACAAAATGGACAATTTGAAATGAACAAAAACAAGAACAAGGACCATTTTGATGAACAGGAAAAAACTATTCTCGAAACAAATTGTAAGTTGAAACAAAACAAAACAAAAATTTTAGTTTGATTTCAATAGGGTGGAAGTGATGAGAGAGGTGTACAATGTTATCAAAAAAAACTGCAAAAATGTATTCTCCTGCAACACCATTTGATCATTGAAAATGTAAAGAGATCCCTTGGTATTTAGTTTGATTTGGAAATTCAGCAATAACAACGATATGGGCATTTTTTTAGATGTTACCAAAAAATACACCCACACCACCACCATCATATACTCTTGGTTTCTTTTAAATATTTGTTCACTTTTATTTTATTTTATTTTGTCTTTTTTTTGGGGGAACTCTATTGTTGAATGTTTTTATAACAAAAAAAAAATATTAGTTGATGATGATGATGACAATAAAATCAAATGGCCGAATAAATTTACTACGAATGATGATGACAATAATAATAATAATAATAATGATGATGATGATGGTAACCGCCAACACAATAATGAAACTAATAATAATAATAACTATGAAAATAGTGAACGAAATCAATCAAAAGTAAATGGTATCGACGACGACGACGACGACGACGACGACTATAATATTTTCAATGATGAAGACATTATTATTTTGGCAAATGTTGTGAACAAATCAATTGATTTGATGAAAAAATTTTCATTCAATTTATTCGGTTGGTGTACCGATGATGTTTATGATGATGATGATGATGAGGAAAATGAAAATGTTTGTATCACTTCATTGAACAATAATAATAATAATCATTATTCAATGATGATTAATCAATCAAAACAACAAATAATGATAAATGAAAAAAACAAAATAATTGGCAATTGTTTAGGTTTATGGACTGCAATGATCAATCATAGTTGTGATCCAAATGCTTATTGGGATATTGATCAAGGTGGTTATATTACAATTACTACTGCCAGGTAAAATTTATTCATTTTTTTTGTTTTTTTTCCGGTTTATAATTATTGTAATGTTTGTATATTACTAACCAGTAAAATTGAACCAAATACTGAAATCAATATTTCCTATGGTATATATGCAAATGATTATAATTTCAATGAACGTCAACAATATCTATGGAAACGTTATCGTTTTCATTGTCAATGTAATGCATGTCTAAAACAACAACAACAACAACAACAGGAACAGGAACAACAAACATTAACCGAATTCATTCAAAATGACAAAAATTCAATTGATTGATTGATTGAGATTTTATCTTTATTCATTTATAAATAATGTACAAAGAAAAAAATTGATAGTCAAAATATAAATACATTTGATATTTACATAATGATGGTGAGATCATCATCATCAACAACAACAAAATACAATAAAAATTGATTTCACATTCATATATAAAAAGAAATATAATAAAAAACAACAATTTTAATTTGATAAATTTTCATTATCAATTACCCTTTTTTTTCAGATAGGAACAAATATCAAAAAACAAAAACAGAGGATAAATAATTAGTAAAGAAGAAAGTTGGTAAATAATAACAATTTCGGTGGATGGGTGATATGTTTAAGCTAACAAAGACTTTCAAATCCATCCGATGATGATGATGATGATGATGGAGTGATGTTTGGTTCCTCATCATCATTGATTGATATTGGACGATAATATAAAGGTGTTACACCATGATGTTTATGATTGGTCATCGATCTTTCTGGTTGTTGTTGTTGTTGTTTTAACTGTGCTTGCCGTTGACGAAAATGTAAAAATTCTTGTCGTAATGCTAAACATCTTTGTTCAATATCTGTAATCGACATATGTTTCGGTGCACGATATGAATAATATTGTGATGTTAATGTTTGCAATGGTCGTTGTTGTGTTGGTACGGATGGCATTGCAACCGGATTTGATTTAGTTCGTTGATGATGATGATGATAATGTTCAACTTTATGATGATCATCAAATTCATAATTTTCATCGGCTGATATGTTATCCATTGATCGATGTCGTTGATATTGTGGCTCTATGAATCGCTGTTGCTGATGATTTTGTTGTTCTTCAGCCGATATACCTGAACTTTGTCCAGGTGAATCATATTGTATCAACATTGTCGTCGTATTAGATTGTTGTCCAGAATGATGATCAATAATTTGTTTACGAGGTGGTGGTCTAGGCGCTTGATCCGATTGTATGTTATGAGGTATAACGGTAAAATGATGGTTTGTAATGGATTGAGGAACTTGCTGACTAGATGATTGATATGTTTTCGTTAGACATCTTCCTACAATGATTGAAAAAAAGAAAGAAAAAAGTTAAATTTGCAAGAAAAAACAATGATAACACAAATAATTCAAACCTTCAAATGAATGTCGATAAGGAGAATCACGATTGATTGATAATAGATATTGTCCACTACGAACTTTTTCTACTGCACCAAGCAATTTATCTCGAGTATAACCAGTTTTTTGTCCATCCGATGATGATGATGATGATGATAATGTACTACTATTTTCACTATTTAATTTTTTATTCTTTATTGGTTTTGGTCCAAGTGTTTCGGTAAGTAAATGTCGTGGAATCGGTAGATTTTGATATGGACTTTGATATTTTGTTATTGTTCGAGGTGATCTTGGTGGTACTGTTGTTTTTGTTGGGGACAATGAGAATGTATCATAAGAATGTTTTTGAGAATCAAAATTTCAGAAACTTACATTGAAGTGGTGGAGGTGGTTGTTTTTGTTGTTTGGTTGTTGAACCATAATCATAAATAGCTTCAGGTACTGGTTCCAATTTTGGTCGTCTTGATGGAATCCAATTTCGTTGCATTATTGGAACAGTTGCTCGTAATAAATTATTATTATTTTCTGATAAAGTTGAACGATGAAAAGATTGATTATTTGGATAATTATAAATTGGTTTCAATGCCGGTAATTCTTTCAAATGTTCAAGATTAATTGATCGTGTAATAGTTTCATTATCTTTATTGATAAATATTTCATCGAATGCTTGATGATGATCATGAAAACCATCATCGCCTGGTTGATAAATAGTATTGATAGGCTGTTGCCGCTGATGATGATAATGATGATGTGGATTATATGGATGATAATAATGATGATGATGGTGATGATGTTGTTGTTGTTGTTGTTGGTGACTACCAACAATACTATTACTTGTCATCGATATCGAATCAGAATGATGACGATTATGATGAACAGGTTTAAATAAATAATCCGAATTCAACATTGTCATATTATGATTATCAATATTTGTATGAAATGATTGTTGTGAAAATGGTCGACATGTTTGACTTTGACCACTGCCATCACTACGAAATGAACCTCGTATTGATGGTGGATATTGTTGTTGTTGCTGAAATAATGATGATGATGTTGGACGATCATTTTGTTGATTGTCATTTATAACTGATGGTTGTTGTTGTTGTTGTTGATCATCCATCATCATCATCATTGATACTTGTTCCATATTCATCATAGGATTTCGTCGTCTTGGGACGGATAATGATCGTGATTGTAATGTTGATTTACATAATGCATATGATGATGGCCATTGTTGTTGTTGTTGGAAGTGTTGATGATATGGTTGTTTAATCGATGTGGGGTAACATTGGTGATGGCCGTTGTCATCACACGTGGAGATGAATGTGTTACGGCCATCGCTGTTGTTGTTGTTGTTGTTTGTGTTTGATCGATTGATTGGCCAATATTGTTGTCGTTCATGATTGTTGATGTTGGTATCATCATCATTGCTGTTGTCGTTGAACTTGTTGCTGTATGGGATGTTAATGTTGGTGATGGGGTTGCTGTTAATGATCCGGGTTCGATATGATAATGATGATGGTGATTGTGTATGTGGTTGTTTGGTGATCGTATCATAGTTGAAAGATGATTTGGTTGTGCCATTGGAATGATCCCAGCCATTGATGGATAACGATTGTTGTTGTTGTTGTGTATTAAAACATTTGGCCATGTTGGTATGGGGACATGATTGTTGTTGTTGTGATGATTGGACATGTGCATCATACTCGTCGGTAATGGTGGTATTACCGGTGCAACAACCATCGAATGTTCGTGATTGTTGTTGTTGTTGTTGTTGCTGCTGTTGTTTATTGATAATTGCTGTTGATGCATTGTTGGAATTAATGGCTGATCGCTGCCAGTAGTCCCTGTAGTATTTGTCGTTGTAGTACTGTTGTCTAAGGATGCTGTCGCTACACGAGATATATCTACAATTTTGTTTTGATTTATTTGATGATAATGATGTTGGCCATATATTTAAACGATTCAAATAATTGATCAATATGTTTCCATTATAATTATTACTATTACTATGATAATAAGTGATTGTGCAAGCAAAATAGGATTGTTGTGAACAAAAAAATAATCAAAAACAAAAACAAAAAAAAAACAGCGGATTTCTACATAATGCAAATATATTGTGGTTCGACATTCAAAGGAAATCATGCAAAAAAAATAAACAAGACTGAAAAAGGAAAACACAAGTGAACAGAATAGAGCAGGAAAAAAAAAGCTTACCGAGTGAATCGACAGGCATAGATAGATTAATCATAAAATCAGATGTAGCTATTGAAATGGAAAGCATTTGTTAATGAAGATGATATTAGAAAAGCAAAAGAAAGAAAAAGATTATTATTATTATGATGATCAACAGTAAACACACAAAAAAGTGTACCTTGTGAATTTGGATCAAACATTTCGAATCTTTTGAATTTTTAATGAAATTTTTTTAAAAAGAGATTAAGATAGAGTTAGAGAAAAAAAAGAAAAGAAATAGTGAATAATTACAATGAAATGCAAAATGTGAAATCAGTGAATGAGAAAAAAAAAACGCAAACACTTACTGTTGTTTGGAAGACATCATTGAATTATCAGCAAAACATGCATTACCATTTACTGGACATGTAACCATAACATAAGCTGTAAATTAATTTAAGTTTGAATAAGATGAAGAATAAAACCATATGATAAATGAATGAATGAATGAATGATTATATAATACATACATTTTTCAATTTTTCTTCGTTTCTTTTTATTACAAACTTTAACCAAACATAATATTAATACAATGGACATTGAAAAGAATATAAAACCACCGATTATACTTGCAATCATTGCACGAAAATGTAGCTGTGAATCATTATGATCATAATCTTCAATATTTATTTCAATCATTGGGCTTACTTCACCCACACCAAGTATTGAATAGGCCCAAACACGGAATATATAATGGCTATTTGATTCAAGCTTTTCGACTAATAATAATAATACAATCCACAACAACAAAACAACAATACAAAAGTTTAAAATGTGTGAAAAAAAAGTAATGATGATGAAAACAACTTACAAAGATATGCAGTATCATAAGGAATTGGATCTGTATATAACCATTGATCATCATCATGACGATATTCAACACGATAATAGGCAACAGCAACGGTTATATTTAATGGCGGATGCCATGATAATACCCATCCTTGTGCCATACGTTGAAATGTTAGATTTCTTGGTGCATCCGGTTTTGGTCCTATATTTTACATTTAGAAATTTAATAAGAGAAGAAAAGAATATGAATTTCAAAATTGATTAATTTAAATCATAGATTCTATTAATAATAATAATAATAATAATCATTATTCTTTTTTTTGGATATCATTAACATTATGATTGAAATGTGTAACAAAAGCAAAGGGTAAAATATTGAACATTTTGCAATTTAAAATTCGTAAGAATTTGGATGGAAGAAAGGTTGGAATTGTCGAAAAGAAATGAGAATTCGGATAGCTGAAAAAAAAGTTCAGAATATCGAATCATACATTATTGGTTATTATTGTTGTTACACAACAGAATAATATAAATTATTCAAATTCAATTTCAAATGTGAATATGAATTTGAAAATGGGGGAAAAATGAATTTGAAAAAAAATTCATTATGTTGTTGTTGTTGTGGTGGGGGAGAGCTGCTTTGCATTACTTTACTTTATTCATTCATTCAGCCATTATTATTCTGTTGTGTGTGTGTGTGTGTCATCCATTAATTCATTGAAATCGATAAAGTTTTAAAAACTTATTATTATTATTTTCCAATTAATTAATTATGCGTTTGTTTTGTCAAAATCAAAATAAGAATAATGAAAAAAAAACTAGAAACTGTTTAAATTGCCAAATACGGTAATGCAAATGGAACAAAAAAAAAAAAGTTTGTTGAAAATTCTTGCCATTGCAAAACTTTTTTTTTCAACAAAAGTCAAAATCGTTTTCATTCAACATCATCATTATTATGATTATTATGATGATGATGATTAGCATTCGTCATTCGGGGGAAAAAAGTTTTTTTCCCATTTATTTATTTATCGTAAATATGCTACACGATGAAAAACATGATTGGAAACCTGTATCCTCATCATTATTATTATTATTATCATCGTGGACAGAATTGACAAAAGGATAACATATGAACAATTTAAGTAAGTAAGAAAGTTCAAACATCATTTTTTGTTTTTTTTGTTTTTGTTTTTCCAAAGTTAATCCACACACACAATATATGAAATGAAATAGATCTCAAATATTGTGATGATTTTGGGTAATCGGATTATATTGTCGGTTATTATTTGCAATTGCAAAATAGTTGTTGCAAAACATACAATCATCATTATTATTATTATTATTATTATTATTGAAATGATGATGATGATTTCAAGTCGGATGATTCTCGTATTGATGAAACGAACAAATGTTTTGATCAAGAAAATTTTGAAAACGAACAAAAAAAATCATTTCAATTCAATAAGAAAAAAACGAATGAAAAGTGTGAATAAATTATCTGTTTGTTTGTTTATTTGGAACAACTTTTTTTTTCAAAAGAATTTTGTTTTTTTTTCTTTAAAAAAAAGAAAAAAAAAGTTGACGAAATGAATGATTTCAAAGAAGAAAAAAAATGTCAAGTGGAATGCATTGACTGAATGAATGAATGAAAAACAAAATGAAACCAAGTCAATCTGATTTTTTCTTACAACTTTTTCTTTCTTTTTTTTCTGGTACATCGATCTTATTGATTTAGTGTGAGATAGTTGATCAAATAATCTACAATTCTCAATTGATTTCAAGATGAGAAACAAAACAAAAAATTCCAAGAATTCTCAATGAATATAAAAACTTGTCTCTCTCACGTGTATGTGTGTGTGTGTGTGTGTGGGTTTTTGTTCCAAAATAAGCCAAAATGTTTTTCTTTTCCTCTATTTGGCAATACTGATGGAAAAAAATTGGAATTACATCGATAAATGAGCGGGAGTGGGTGGAATTTTTTTTCAAAGAATTTTCTGCTATTGCAGAGAAAAGAAAAAGAGCTTATTATTTATCATCGGACCGGTTTAGAATGGTATGAATGAATGAGAAAAAAAAATCGTTGTTCGACGACAAATTCAAATGATAATTAATGATCATGATCATCCGAAGAATCGAACAAAAAAAAACATTTTGTCATCATCAGAAATGAAATGAAATGAAATAAAAAGAATTTCATTTCATTTCGGCAACAAAATTAAGAAGAATTGAATTGAATTCCAATTTCAATTTAATAATAATAAATTTTTTTTTCTGCTTGTTCACAATCTTTTCATTTCAAATTTCATATTTTTCGTTGTGTTTTGTGTTCGGGGGGGGGAAAATGGATTTTAAATTTTACCAGCCTCGATTTTATTTTTTATTCAACATTCATCATAATCATTATTATTGTCAACAAAACAGAACCGAAAAATAAAAATCCATATTGAACATTTGGGTACAGCGAAAAAAAAATTTTCCCGGAAAAAAATCTCTAAAACACTTGTGTGACACATAGCATAGCATAATATATCAACATAGCAAACAAAACAGGAATCGAAAAAACAAAACAAAACAAAATCCGATATTTGTCCCTTCAAAAACACTGATTTTTTTTTTTGTTGAATAACAAAATAAATTTGTCATCATTATTCTATTGAACAAGTTTGACTTTTCCTCTATTCTCTCATTCTATCGCGTATTGGATTGATGATGAATGATGATTTGTCTTCATCAAATTTTATTTTCTTCGATCACACTCTATGTTTCTTTCAAAGATCATTTTGTTTGTTTGTTATGGATGTTTTTTCTTCCATCATCAACAACGACGACGACGACACACAGATAAAGAATTTGATACAGAATTCAGTTTTTTTTCTCTCGATATAATGGTGAACTTTAGTACAAGCCTTTGAACAACAAAAAAAAATCGAATCAAAATTCCAATGCAACCAAAAAAAAATACGAAATTCATTTTCATTTTCAAACATTTATCGTACAGAATAATTGAATCAACAACAGAAAAAAATATAGAATATTTACCCCGGGTGTAATAATCAAATAATAACAACAACAACAACAACAAAAATGGTCGGTCGTGTCAAAAAAAATAAAAATTATGGAAAAAAAATTTATGCAAAACAAAATTCCAAATGAGAAATGATGAATGAATCAATGAATGAATGAAATGGGTGAAACAACTGGGTTAACAAACGAAAAAAAAAGAAAAGAAAAATTCTATCGAAAAAATAATAACAACATTGAACATGAATATGCCATTTTGGAATCTGAATGAAAACGGCGACGGCAATAATAACAACCAAAACCAAAATCAAAACCAAAATAGGAAATAGCTATTCCGTTTCTATTTTTTTTTCATTCAATCGTTTCGTTTTTTTGTAAACTATTTTAGCTAATAAATAAAGATATAGTAAGATACCCGATTCAACGAATTCAATTTCAATATAATGAAATTAATGTTCGTTTTTTCATTTCAAAAAAAACAACCTTCCATGGAATATACAAGGACAAGACAACAATTTATTCTCAATGATGATGTTTGGTGGTTGGTTGGTTGGTGGATGGAGAGAGAGAGAGAAAGTGAATATAAAGTTTGACTGAGAAAAATGAAAATTCTAAGGAAAAAGCTATCCTGGCTGGCTGGCTTTCCTGGCACAAACACATTTAGATATTTTTTGTTTGTTTGGTGGTTTTTTCGTTTTTCGTACTGGAAAAAAAATGATTGATTATATTGAATATACATACAGTTTGTATGGATTTTGTTTTCAATATTTACTACATAATTTTATGAATGTTGGTAATAGATTTTCTTTTTTTTCTCTCCCCCGTAAAAATTGTATGCTTTTTAGCATACACACACAATCACATCTTATGTGTTTGCACAAACAAAAAAAACGGAAAAACAAGTGAAAATTAAATTCACACCGCGGTCAACGAACGGTTATAGTTTGAAAAGAATAATAATAAATATTTACCGTAATCATTGAAATGTATTTCGGTAATAAACAAAGATGACTTCATCATCATGATGTTGGTAATTTATTCAAAATAAAATAAATTAGGTAGTAGATAATTTTTCTTTGGTAAGTTTGTGAAAAACTTTGCCTGCAAGAATTTCAAAGAAAATTTCTCAAATTGAATTTTTTTGTTTTTTTGTTTTTTGTGTTTTGCCAATCAATTCTGCAAATATTATCGAGAAAAGAGTGGGGGAAAGGTGCAGAACATCAGCTTCATGAAAAGTTTTTTGTTTCCATTGAAGAAATTTTCTGCATCTTATTTTCTTTTTCTTTCTTTTTTTTGCAAAAATATAAAACACACGCACAACGGCATCGGCCCAAAAAACAAACATCTAGACACCAAGCGCTAGCCGAGAAAAAAAAATGAAACGAATTTACCCGACCAAAATATAGCAAGAAAAAAAAATAACCGAACCGAACCAAACCGAACGAAATTATTATTATTATTACTACTATATATAAACATGTGAAGAAAAGATTCCATAGAATATCAAACGAAGAAACGATTTTTTTAAATTAAAATTCTTTCTTCGTTCGGTCGATTCAGTTTGAGTTTGAGTTTGTTCACTGTATTTTGTTTTTTTTTTAATGACAATCCACCCATCTATCGATGATGTGATGTTGGTGACTTTTTTTTATATTTTGCCTTGAAAACATTCTTTGGGTTAACATTAAAATTGTTGATAGAAATTCCCGGGTAGAGAGTGAGTGAGTGTGAAAGAGAATTTTCACCATTTTTTTTTTGTTGACCAAATTTAGAAAGAAAGAAAAAAAAATGGAATTTTAAATTCTTTTCATTTGGTTGTCACACTTGTTTATTTGTTCCTGGTTGTTGGTCGATCGATAATGGAAAAACGTGAAAATCATTGACCGAAAAATAAAATAAAATGAAATGATTTCATTGATGATTATGATTATGATGAATGTATGTGACCCTATTTATAATTTTATTTTCAAGAAAACATCAATTTCTCAATAAGATTTCATCAAAAAATGGAAATATTTTTTTTCTTCTAGTATTTTTTTCAGGTTATTTTCACATTCAACATTGAATTGTCATTGCAAAAAAAAATCAAGATAAATTTGATTTTCAGATTTACCTGAAGGCTTTTGGACGGTCGGTATATATGTTGCTCCGGATGCATCGGTTGGATAGATTTTTTCGCCAAAACTCCAAGCTAAATTTTGTTTTGATAATTCAAGAATGAATAAAGTAAAAACAATGATTAGAATCATCGAAATGTCAATAAAGATTTATTTAGGTTTGATAATAATAATAATGATTATGATACATACGTTTAGTAGATGCACGAATAATTGGTGATGGCTGTCCAGCTCCAAGACGATTTGTTGCATAAACTTGAAATTCATATTCATTATCTGATTGAAGATTATATAAAGTAAATGTGTTGGTGGTCTCTGGTGGTGGTACACGTATCGTTTTCCATTCGGCATCGCCTTGATCCGAAATACGATAGCTATGATGATGTTTATATGAATGAATGAATGAATGAATGATGCGGCATTCACATCAACACACAAAGAAAATCAGAAAAAAAAGAAGCCGATCAAATGATAATTCATAACACAAAAACAAATAAATGCAATGAGAAAACAAAAAAATATTTCAATGAAAATCAAAATCAAAAAAATGTTGCAGACAAACAATCAGAATTTTAAAAAAGAACAAGAAAAATAAATACCTAAGATGAAATGTTTGTTCATAGCCGCCATTATAATTTGGTTCCCATCGTATTGTGGCAGCAAAATAACTTGTATTTACTGAAACATTTGTTGGCGTATGTGGTGTTGTATCTATCATATCAAAATGAATGAATGAATGGATGAATGGTTTGATAAAAAAAAGAGAAAAAATATATTTTCATCATCAGAATCATCGATAAGATTTGCTTGTCAAAATAAAATTTTTTTTTTTTGATTGAGTCAAAAATGATTCTGTCAATAAATCGACAAAAAAAATGGAATACAAACTTACTATTGATGATAAGAAGTGTAGGAGCAATAATGGCTGCTATTTCATTTTCCAATACACATTCATATTGGCCATGATCTTCTTTTTTCAATAATTTTATCGTTATATTACCCGAACGAATTGTTGTACGTTCACGTGGTGATAATTTTGTACCATCAGCCTATAAATCATTATGAAAAACAACGACAACAACAAAAATTAAAATCCAAAAAATAAATGACAAAAATAACGACAAGCAATTTGAAATGAAATGAATTGAACATTAAAAAAAATGATGATTGAAATCAAAGCGACAAGTTGTTGTCAACTTTTTCTTTTCTTATTTTTTTCATTTTTATTACTTTGGACATATTTTTTTCGTCGTATAAAGAAATAGTTTCAAATTCATTGAACCAAAAATATATTCGTCATCACCATATTAATTTATTATTATAAGAATCTTTCAAAACAGTGTGGACATTTGTTTTTTTTTCGGTTCTTGGTTACGATGGTCTTTTGTTTTGTTTAGTTTTATATCCCATTAAATCGATTTAAAGCAACATTGGATAAGCACAGCACATCTAATCTCAATACAATCTAAGCATTGAAGCATTAAACATTTGACAATAAACACAGTTAAAAACAAATGCCGGCTCGCTTGCTTATCATTATCATCATTGTCGTCGTATGTCGTAGAATGTAGGAATCGTGTGAATTGAACCGTATTTTTTTGGAACATTAAGAAAAAGAACAACAACAACAATTCATCAACGGGTTGTTTTGTACAATTTTTTTTTCATTGTTAAAAAAATATGTTTCACTTGGAAAACATTTAAAACTTTTTGTTTTCATTTGGTTTGTTGTTTAAACTTTGCAAAACTAGCACAGAATTTTGTTCAGGTTTTTTTTTGCTTGCCCGGGAATTCTCGGAAAAATTCCCCACTATCAATTTTAAAGAGGAAAAAAATGAGAAAGTGAAAATGACATCATCACCTACGGTAAGAATTTATATTCGTAATGCATAATAAATCAATATACGAAATTTTTTTTGCAAAGAAACTTGGAAAAAAAACTTTAAATCAGATTTAGTCAGATTGGTGACGATTTTTTTTCCGTTGAGCGCCACTGTTTCAGTGAAAAAATAATTCTATGTAACCGCTAAATCTCTTACGAATCAAATTTTGTTGTTGTTTGTCTCCGGTTCAAAAAAAAAATGATCAAGAATTGAATTGAATCAAATCATGATCCATGTTGTTGTTGTTGTTGTTGTTGTTGCTGGCGCTGTATAGGAATTTCATTTTCAATTTCTTTTCAATTGTTTTCCATTTTTTTGTATGAAATCAATAAATAGAGAGAAATGAAAGTTTCTCAAGAGAATAGAATATCGTTTCAAGTTTGATTCTCGAAAACTTTTAATTCCGGACAAACAAAATTCTCCACTGCTTGTGTTTGTGTTTGTTTGTGCATGTTCTTCTTCATTTCATGTGATAAATTCAAATGAAAATTTTGATGTTACTTACTTTACGCCAATAAATATTTGGTTTTGGTTGACCAGTACCATCACATGAAATCGATACTTCATCATTCACGGCACGAACATATTGATCTTTTGGTTTTCGTGTAAACACTGGTGGATCTAATATTGATCAAAAACAGAAAGCAAAACAAAATGATTTCAAAAATGGTCAACAAACAAAAAAAAAACAAGAATTTTTTTGATTTCCGTTTCCCCTTGAAACCAAATAAACAACGATGTCATTTCATTCAATTTACCCGGACGACATATAATCATCAAGAATTTTTTTTTATTTTTGCCTCAAATGTTTTTGTTCACACAAAGTTTATTCACCTAAATCCTATCCACACATACATTTTTTGTTTGGGTACGATTATATAATCATACTAAGCTTAAATGTTGAGAGTGTTATGGTGCTATGTTATGTTGGCTAAAAGGATTTGTTCAACATGTTTTCATTCAATATCAAGAAAACAAAAATGTAAAAACCATACAGCTGAATATAAATCCAGAATGAAGAAAAAAAAGAACAAATACAAATATGGTTGGCTTGGAAATTGAATGGAATTTTTTTCTATATTTTGGACCCAGCTAGAATTTTCGCATATGAAGAAAATCCTTTACACTATTCAATTGAAATGAGAGAGAGAGAAAAAAAAATATTGAATGAAAATGAAAAATGAATGTCGAATGGAAATTCATTCGTATGGTGTTTGGAAGTGAAAATTCATAAAATGAAAATGTTGAAAAAGATAGCATTTCTATCCCTATGTGAACATTATGATTAAAAATACAAAAAAAAAGTGATGTGATATAGAGAAATTTATGTTAACTTAGAAAAAAAAAGAAAAGAATAAATTGTTCAGTCAGTCAGCTAGACAGACTGTCTTGTTTGGAAATGATCAAATAACATCGTTTCGATTTGAAATCGATATTTATTATGAATGAAGCAAAATAAAAATCAATTTCAAGAGAATAATATTACATATAAAATAAAACTAACCTCTAACTAAAACTTCCATAGATTGTGATGATTCAGCCGTACCATGAACATTATATGGTGTACAACGATAAATGCCTTGATGTTCAAGACTAACTTTATGGAATAATAATGAACCATTATTAATGGTCGATACATCAGGCGTTGAATTTGGATCAAATGGTCGTCGATCTTTGGTCCATGTAACAAATTGAAATGGTGGTGATGCTTGTATAAAACATCGTACAATACCGGATAATCCTAGAGGTAGATATTGAATTGTTGGCGAATAATATACACGTGCTGGAACTGTTAACAGAAAAGAAATTACATGTTAAGATTTTTTTTTCAATTAACATTCGATTCGACTTACATTCAATATTTAGATAGGCAGATGCAGTATCCGGTGATCCAATACCATTGGATACTTCACATGTATAATGGCCAGAATCTTCAGCTACACTTGGATTTATAACCAACATACCAGGTTTGATTACAAATCGTGATTCTTGCCATGGAACATGACCAATTTCTTGTCCATCATGAAACCAACGATATGTTACATTTGATGGTAATGCACGTGCTTCACAAACTAATTCAACACGATCACCTTGTAATTTTGTTGTATTACGTGGCGGTGGTAATGTAATCACAGCTGGTCCGGCAATAATAATTTTTGTTATGGCATTTATTGAACCTTCACGATTACGACTAGTACAACGATATTCACCAATATCCGATAATTGTATATTATCAATTTGAAGCTCATGATTATATATTTGAATGTTTGAATTGGCTTTTAACGGTTTATTATCCTTTTTTGAATGAATGAATGATAAAAAAAATTAATCCAAATTCCTTAATCAATCAATCCAATCAAATATACCTTATACCAAGTGATCTGTGGTGTAGGCGTACCATATGCTTCACATGGTAATGTAACCGATTCTCCAACTTTAACATATATCACATCGGGAGGTTTTACACGAAATTGTGGTGGCGCTACCAATGTCAATATTGTTTTATTTTTTTTCAAAAAAAAGTAAATAGTAAAGAATTAGAAATTTCGCAATAAGAAAAGATAATAATGAATATAAATAAAAAAAATTGAATCAAAATGGAATTCTATTCATTCAGTCAATCTTAAATTATTATTTTTTTGCTGAAAATCTTTTAAAAATCTCCAGGGAGATAATCGAATAATGAATCTAGAGAACGTGAATGAGGTCGATTTTAGTCGAAATCCAAATATTGATTTTTTTTTTTGCTACCAATTCCATCTATCTATCGTTTGTTAACAAAAAAAAAAGAAATATCTAGCCATTATTTTTTTCAAACAAAAACAAAAAACTTTCCATATGTGAAAAAACTCGAATAGAAAAAACTTTAAGGAATAGAAAAATAATTTGTGATCACATCTCGGGTATACACTTCAATCAAAAAACGATTCAAAATTCAGTTCATGATTGAAAAATATAGAGAATATACTTTGTCTATCTCGGGCAGTGTGTGTGTTCACATTACATAAACAATGTACACCTCGTTTTTTAAATGAAGTAAGAAGAAGAAGAAAAAAAATCAATCGAGTCGCATAATGTTTTGTTTTATTTGAAGTTTCTTTTTTTTTGGCTGAAAAAATATAGTGATGAACTACAATATCATAATAATAACTGTTTTCGAACAATAAAAAAAAGTTTGTCCCATAATAGTACTAATGAATTGAACACTCATCGATTGATTGATATCATAGATCAATCAATCGATTGGAATTTTCAATAAAATCGAACAAAATATATGTGGATAAATTGGAAATTTCTTGGGAAACTTGGATCATAATTTAGCTGGAATAATCAAAAAAAAATATGAGTAACAATCAAACAACTTACCGAGAACATCAAGATGAACCCAGGTACCATTTTTAATTGGTTCTGGTGGTCGATTTAGAAAAAATACTTTACATTCATACCATCCTTGATCAGTATCACGAACATTGGTTAAATTGAGCGATGCACGTCCACTAAGGCTAACACGATTTTCATAACCTTCACCAATATGTGGATGATAACCATCATACCAAATATATATTGGTATTTTAACATCTTTTTTTTCCCATTGTATCACATATGGTACACGAAAACCTTCCGGAAAATCAAATACACATCGTAATATAACATTTTCACCAAGATTGGCTGTCGTTCGATATGGCTCTGTTGTTGTTGTTGTTGTTGTTGTTGTCATTGTCGTTGCCATCGCTGCTGGTAATAGACCTGATCCAAAAAAAAATAAACAAAAACAAAAAATCAAATCAATTTTTTTATCCAATCATAACGATAACAATAGTTTTTCTGATGAAACAAATTTCGCTTTTAAAAACAAAACAAAACAAAAAAAAACGAAAATTGATTCCGAAAGCAAAATTTATATTGCGGAATAAAGTTTTTTTGGTAGTGATCAATCTGATGAAATTTAGTTTTTTTTTTTTGATGAGATAAAAATCTTTTATCAAATTTTTTTCCATGATAATGGTGGAGATAGTCGACCAAGAAAAAAGAAGAAAAATTTATTGTGTTTCGATAAAAAAAACCAATAATGACAAAAAAGCTATGAAAATGACAATAACAACAACAACAAAATAAATAAAGTTTACATCACCAAACCAAAGAGATTTATTGATTCTAATAGATCACACTAACCAACCAAACAAAAGGATCGGGAGAGAGAGAGCGAAAAAATATATGTTCGGTTATATAATATACCCGAAAACATTACTGATTGTTATCATTCAATGGAAAACAACAACAACAACAAAAACAAATTGTGATGTACGCAACAACAATAAATTGTCGAAAAAAAATCCGGTTATTGGCAATATGGAATATTTTTTTTTGTTGAAAACAAATGTTTGGAACCGGTGAAAACTGGGAAGAAATACAGCCTGAGATTTGATTATGTTTGGATGATTATTCAAAGGATTCAAAGTTGTTAGTTAACGAAATAGTCAAATTGGATTTTTTCATTTTAACTACTTCAAAAGAAGAACCCGAAATTGATCTTATTCTTAATTTTTGAATGTTTCAAATCTAGCTGTTTGATTTTTTGTTTTTTTTTTGTTTTCTTATTTTCTCAGATTTCTTCGAGTCTTTTTTTTCGATCTCTTTTGGGAATAAACATTTAAAATTTATTCAACTTTTTTTTTGAAAAAAAACTTGCAAAAAAATATATTTTTTCGTTCAATTCGTTAGAATTTCGTTAAAGAAAAATGATGATTGTAAATCACTTGACACACACACAAATACACACGTATAGTAAACACATAACATCACATGAAAAATGCCAGAACCAGACAGGATCTGTAAGAGAAAATAGTGGGGAAAAAAAGATGTGAAAATAAGAAAATCGACAAACGAAGAAAATTTTGTAATTCGAAACCAAATACTGGGAGAAAACAACAACAACAACAACAACAAGAAGAGAAAACCAAAATGAAAGACGCCCATTCCTTGCCTGGAAAAATATCAACCAAATGATAAAACCACAAAGCTAAATTAATCGAAAAAAACAACCTCGAACCAAAAAGAGATTTTCCAACAACTACAACGACGACGATGATGGTGATGCTAATAGAACACTATCGGATCATGTGTAACGAAATTTGTTTAGTTTGCATTGCGATGTAAATGTTTTTTGGTATTTTTTTTAACTGAAAACAACCAGGGAGAAAAAAAAAGTAACGACAAGATTAGAATTTCAATTGGATTCACACAAAAAACAAATAAATAAATAGCCCAACAAATAGTGGTTCAGTGGTGGTTTTATTTACAAGTCTCTTGGGTCCATGTTGTTGTTGTTGTTTTTTTAACATCATCAAGGATCACCACCAAAGAATTCAAATCTGAAATGAACTTTTTTTTTACTTTTTTTTGGTTCTTGATTCATACAGAGAGAACCAAACAGAGAAAAAAAAGGATTTATTAGATAAATATTGAGATGAAATTTGATTGGTTTTTAAATTGGCAAAAAAAATAGCAGCAGCAATTTATTTCAGCAGAAAATTAACTTGAACTGAATCACTGAAAACAAAATCGATTAGGTCGGTTTTGTTGATGACAAATTTTTTTTTGTTCAACCAAGAAAATGAATCAAAAAGAAATTATCAAATAAAATGCAAAAAATATATATATTGGATTTTTAGATTGGAAAAATTGTAAATTTAATCTTGCCAATTGAATTTGAAAAAAAATTCTTTTGCTTTATTTGTAATATAAGGTGACAAATAAGAAAAAATCTTTATAAAAAAATAAACTATTAATATAAAATACAATGTTTGTTCAAATGTGATCCAAAAGAAAGAATGTTGAACAAAAATTCTTTGGAACGGTATGCGTGTTAAAAATTTGTAAAGAAACAAATAAATAAACGAACGAACGAACGAGCGAATGAAAAATGAAATATTTTTGGCACGCACGAATTCTTGTCAAGTGCGAAGAAATGATCCAAATATTTAGTACAAACATACACACACACACACACAAACTAACCAAAATATTCGGTATTTGTTTTGTCGTCAACTAAATCACAAATACAAACGAACGAACGAACAACAACAACGAAAAAACTTTTCATTTCATCGGTTGTAAGTAAGTGTCTGTGTGTATGTAGTCTTCATTTGCTATTTGAATTTGTTGCTTTATTTATTTTTTTCTATTTTGGAATAGAAAATATTTTTTTCATTGGTTTAGTTTCATTGTTGATTGTTAAACATTTGATGATGATGATGATGAGGATGATTCTACTTCATTTCAAACACTTCTTAAATGTTCATTCAACCATATTATGTAACAATGATTATAATAACTAGATTGAGTGAGAGAGAGTTGTGAAATAATGAAAACTATTCTGTTTTCCTGTCTGTTAGAGAAAAATAATAATAAAAAAAATTCAGAAACATTTTCTAGTTGTAATCGTCAAAAACGGTTTTTTTTGTTGTTGTTGTAAATCGGTTGCTATTTAGCCAGACAAATTTTGATATTTTTTTTCTGGAAAGAATTTTCGTGAATGCCACCAATAACACAATACAACAATCAGCCTTCATTCATACACACACACACACAGACAAAAGAACGGAAATTCTTGACAATCACAATATTGAACGATGAACATTTATAAGTGTATTGAATCGATACATCAATCGATATTATTCACATTGTATCAAGTAGTGATGCTATGCTTTCAAACTCAAATTCAAAAAAAGAAAAGAATTCAATGAAAAAAAACACAACATCTTTATATGTAAAACCAGAACTATGACCATAATCAGTTCAGTCACATTCAGCATTTTAGTCCAGTCTGTCAGTCAGTCAAAGAATTTGATGATCGAACAAAGAAAAAAAACGTATTTGTGTGACAAATAAAAACAAAAAACTGATTCTAAAAGTAACGAATCTGGTTTGTCATGTCAATTTCGAAATGTGTGTGTGTCGCGGTATTCCAAAACATTATTCTGTATGTCCATCGATAAATTGATATGTATTGTGTGTATATGGTGGTCTAAACAAATCACTGAATTCACTGAATTGACATTTGTTTGCATTTGCTTGTTTGTTTGCTACACCAGTGACAAACAAACATCGATATAGTGAAAATCGAATCTCTGGATTATACATACAGGATTCAATTAGGAATTTTTTTTTCTTTCTTTACTCGATCAATGTTTTGTTTGCGATGACCGTTCTCTTTACTCATTATGTTTGTTGTTTGTTTGTTGTTGTTAATGGGTGATATGGTTTTTGGTTGTTGTCTTTCTTGTTCATCATCATTCTTGATAATAAAAGGAAAAAGAGGATGATCACATATTGAATTCATTTTGAAGATAGAGAATTCCAAAGAATATCTAGTATAGATTCTATATTCTGGTCCAAACAAATAGGGAAAAAAAATTTCGAAATTGAAAATATTCTTTTGGTTGGTTGGGTGTCTTTTAGAAAACTTTTTTCCATTTCTTTTCCGCAGATTGTAAAAAGAAATTTATCTTTTTTCTTGTTGTTGTTGTTGTTGTCAATAAATTTTGTTCAATGTTTAATGTGTTTTTTTTGGCTCATTCTAATCTCTGATCTTTCACACTTGGACAAAACACATCATCTTTTTTCTTCCTCTATATTTTGACTTTTCTTCGCATAAAAAATTTATTAGATTTTTTTTTTACTCAATTCTTTTCTTGAATTGAATCAATGAACATGACAGATGCGAATAAGATAGCGGACCAAAGAATAAAGAAAAAAAACTGATGACAGATCAGAACACAAATCTTCAATGATGATGATGATGCGACTGACAAGATTTATTTCCTGTAAAAGAGTTTGGCAAACGAGAACAGAATAAAAAAACCGAAGAATCAGCCGAAAAAAATTCGGACTTTTTTCCCATTCTGATAAAAAAGTTTGTCGATAGCAAATGGGAAAAAGTTTTTTTCTTTTTTTCCTTTCGTTTTTTTGTGTGCATCAATTTCGAAAAAACCGCTTTTCTAAGCGAATTAAAAGGGATGATGGTGAAAAGGAAAATTTGGTGGTTGTAATCAATTGAAATATCATTGATTGGATTCTTTTTCGTCTCACTTTAAACATCTCTTGAATATTATGATGCAAAAATGTTTTTTCCTTTGTGAATCAATAAATAATTCCATACAAAATTGCATTATAAAGCCAATGTGAATCACCGGTAATGTGAATCATTCGAATAATCAAATATTAGATATTCAAATGTATGAGGAGGCTTTTTATCCAATTCAATTGTTCTACGAAATCAATCAATTCAACAGAAATCAAGGAAATAGACAAGCAGTGAGAAAGAACAAATACCGACTACCGTCGACTATATGTGTCAAATTGAAAATAGTGAATTACATTGTATCCGAATCAAGATCCTTCGTTGGCCTTTAGATACAGAATGACCAAAATAATCGAATCAAACAACAAATCCAGTTATACTGGCTGGTCAGCAATGTGATTGATGGCTAGAGTGGTAAACAATGTTTTTGTTTTGTTTTTAGGGTTTCTCTTTGTTGTTTTTATAGTTTGCGTGCTTTTGTTTATGATTTCTGTTTCCTGCTTGGTAATTTACACAAAAACATTTTCTCTTCTTTGGTTTCTGGTTTAAATATGAATAATAGATATAATCAGAATCTAGAGATGTAAAAAAAATATTTTTATTTTCTCTTTTTGGAACCAAAACAAAGCTTCTCAATGTTGTTATTATTGTGTTTCATGTCAGC